GGGGGCGTGCCGGAGATGTGGAGGCTTTGCGCTGCGAGCCTTGCCCTGGGCGGTGGCCGGCCGGGCGCTGCAGGAGAGCAGGTCGGGGCAGCCGACCAGCCAGGGGAATCCTTTCAAGTTCTGGGTTCCCTTTGTTGCGCAATAGAGCCCTAGGGCCACGCGGCCTCATTGGCCGGGGGGCCGTGACGTCACGCCGGGGCCCCGCCCGCAGACCCTGCGGAGGGTGACTTCTGGACTCGGTGGGTCCCAGGCCTGTCACACCTGCGACCTGCTTTGCCATGTGCTGGGTGGGGAGAGGAGGAAGGGACAGTCTGCAGCTTGGGGGAAGGGGGAAGCTCCATCCTGAAATGCTGTGGGGACACTGTGAGTGTGATGCAGGAGAAAGTTCCCAGCCGGGGATGGTGACACGCTGGGTGTAGACCCCACTGGCCGGAGCCCCGCCTGCGGTCTGGCCCCAAGTGTCTGCTGCTCCCTGTAGAGAGAGAATAGCAGGTGTGTGATCTGTGGGTCTCTGGAGGAAGGGGGACCCCCTGTTCCCACAGAGCCAGCCCCCTCTCACTTCACGTTTGGAGACCTTGGTGTCCACGCCCCAACCTCCCCCCAGTGACATTTCTCTCCCAACCCAGGACCACCAACCACACTCAGGACCAGGGGCAGACGGGCACCGTGCTGGCTTGTGCCAGTGTAGCCTGCGGCTCTGTCCGCAGTACCCCGCACCTGTGACCAACTGGTGGGTGGGGTGGGCTGGGGCTAGGCTGCGCCCAGGGTCACAGGGGTCAGATAGAGCTTGCTTGGGCGTCTGATGGAAGCCTCCCCATCTGACAGCTGAGGTGACCCAGTGCAGGTGCGAAAAAGTTGCTGGCCAACCAAGTGCATGCTGAATCTAATTTCCTGTTTGATAATGCAAAGATCAGTGGTGTCTTTGGCCCACACTCTGGAACCCCAGAAGGCTGCTAGGCACCTCACAGGGCTGGGGGCAGCCCTGTGGCCACCTCACTCCCAAAGCTGGGCTGTCCCAAATGCTAGTTGGAGTGACTGTATGTCCGCTTGCAGGTCTGAGGTTCACAAAGCTCAGTGTCTTAGCCCTTAAGAGACAGCGTAGCTCAGTGAGCTGGGAGGACTTTGGTACAGGCATCCACATGGTAAGCATCTATTGAGCACTTACTGTGCGCCCGGCATAGCTTATTAACTACCCACAATGCTTTTCAAGGTAGTACTATTATGTCTAGCTTTCAGATAAGAAAACTAAGGCCCAGCTGAGTCAAGTAACCCAGGAGCTGAAGTTGGAGTCTTGCAGCCCTCACCCCTCGCTGTATGGCCTCCGTATGCCGAGGTCAAGGAGGTTTGCTGGACACCGGAACGGCTGGTTGAGGGTCTGGGGTGGGGAAAGAAAGGCCACTCTGCAAGCAGGAGCCTCATGTTTGGGAAGGAAGTCCCAGAAGTCCCCCGAGCCCCTTAGGAGACCGTTAAGGGGCACCGGTGGGGTCCAGAATGAACTCCTCCCCTGGGCCAGGGGTCTGGGCAGGCCCAAAGCAGAGGCACCAAGATGAATGAGACATGTCCCTCAGAGGTCCCTCGGTGTCCGGGGGCAGGGGGGCGGGGTCAGGCCACAGGCAAACCAAAAGAAACTCAGACTAGACAAACAGGTGCCAGGCAGCGTGTGGAGAGGTGTTGCCTCCTGTCCTCAGCACCAGGGTCCTGCGCGGGCCTGTCCACCCCAAGCTGGAAACAGTCCCTGGGGGATCATGTGGCTCTGTCTGGTACAGTAGGCCCCATAGTATCTGGGGCAGAAGTGCAGCTGGTGATTTTAAACAGGTGAGAAGGGCCAAGTGTAGGCAGAGCACACAGTGGACCTTCACTTAGCATGTGCTGCTTCCCCCGCTGCCTACTCAAGGCTGTGGCCAGAGGGGCCTGTCCTGGGGAACCTCACATCACGGGGACTGGCCAGCACTCCCTACAGGGAGGCAGCTGAGGCTGCGGGGCTGAGAAGGAGGAGGGAGGGACTTGCCGCCCAGCCCTCTGGCAGGATGGGGCAACTCCCTGACAGGTGCCTCCTGCCCAGCATCCTCATCTCTGGCTCACGTCCACAGGTTGTTGGCACTTCCTCCCTGGGTCAAGGTGTGCTCCCTGGGCTGTCTACAAGCCCATGCTGCCCAAGGCATCCATAGCAAATGCCGACCACGGTGCAGGGCACCCCTGTGTACAATACCTGACCCGGGGCTTAAGAGGCGGGGTGTCTGTCTGCCCCTGTCTACCTTGAAGGAAACATCACCGTCCTGTTCCAGAGGACATGCGTGCAGAGACCCCGCGCCAGCCGCACAGCTGGAATACTCGAGCTTAGGTTGAACCCCAGCTTGTGGCAGTGCCAGGCACGCCTGGGTGTGGGAGGCCAGCTTGGGCTGCGCTGGGCAAAGCAGGCTGCTCTTTCCCAGGGTGGGCATGAAAGTGGTCACCAGATCACCCTGACCTCACAGGGCAGGTTTGGGGGACGCGCACATCCTCATTTGGCCAAATGACATGGGACGGGGTAAGGTGAGGGCCATGACATTCACCGGGGAAGCCTCGTGAAGGCTGTGCAAGGATTTGGGGACGTTTGCTGGCAAGAGGACTTGTGGGCCAGGGCCAGGGCACACATGGGGCAAGAGTGCCCATCTGGGCCAAGCCTGGCTGGTTCCCTAAGGATGTGGGTGGCCTGGAAGGAAGCCCAGATTCCATGTCTTGACCAGGAGTGAGTGGAAGGGATAGAACGTGCACTTATTAGGCACCTCTGTTGTGTGTCCCCTGGGGTACCAGAGACATGGGCAGGAGGCACAGAGAGTGGAGAGGAGGGTGGAGCAGCCCAGGGCAAGACAGGTGATGGCATACTGGGGGACCCCTCCACCTCACGCTCCCAGGAGTCCCGGAGGGAGAGTTGAAGCCAACTGAGCGCTCGTTGGCTTCTCCTCCACTGCAGATGCTCGTGGTCCCTGGTGTCCCCGGGCCGCCGGGCGTGAGGGCTGCTGCTCCGAGCCGGGGCCGGGCTGTGAGGAGGATGCCCCAGCCGCCCGCCAGCTCCTGCCTGCACCATGAGTGATGAGCGGCGGCTGCCTGGCAGTGCAGTGGGCTGGCTGGCATGCGGAGGCCTCTCGCTGCTGGCCAACGCCTGGGGCATCCTCAGCGTGGGCGCCAAGCAGAAGAAGTGGAAGCCCCTGGAGTTCCTGCTGTGCACGCTCGCGGCCACCCACATGCTCAACGTGGCGGTGCCCATCGCCACCTACGCCGTGGTCCAGCTGCGGCGGCAGCGCCCGGACTACGAGTGGAACGAGGGACTCTGCAAGGTCTTCGTCTCCACCTTCTACACCCTCACCCTGGCCACGTGCTTCTCCGTCACCTCCCTCTCCTACCACCGCATGTGGATGGTCCGCTGGCCTGTCAACTACCGGTGAGCTCCCAGGCACGTGCATGTGCGCACTCGAACGTCTGGTGTTCTCGGGCACGAACAGGAAGACCACCTGGTGTCCCCGTGTGCACAGAGGCTCGCGGTGTGGTGGCCGTGCCCGAGGTGGTCTGCCCCAGCTGCGTTGTCCCGGGTGCGGGCGGGGGTCTCAGGACGGGCACCCTGGGCTGCAGGGATGCACGTGGGTGTACGGTGTCCAGTGCAGAAGTGCTTGGTGAGAGGAACGTGTGACATGTGCATGAATGTCACCTATGCAAGCAACGAACCCCACCATGCTGGTCGTTCCACGCCTGCCATGTACTGGGGACCAGGACCATTGGGGGATCCTCTACAAGTCACCCCGTGAGTAACACTGGGTCCCTTGTCCTATCCCCCCCGCCCACGTGCCAGGCTGAGCAATGCCAAGAAGCAGGCGGTGCACACGGTCGTGGGCATCTGGATGGTGTCCTTCATCCTGTCGGCCCTGCCCGCCGTCGGCTGGCATGACACCAGGGAGCGCTTTTACGCCCGCGGCTGCCGCTTCATCGCAGCTGAGATCGGCCTGGGCTTTGGCGTCTGCTTCCTGCTGCTGGTGGGTGGCAGCGTGGCCATGGGCGTGGTCTGCACGGCCATCGCCCTGTTCCAGACGCTGGCCGGGCAGGCAGGGCGCCGGGCCGACCGCCGCGCCTTCACCGTGCCCACCATCGTGGTGGAGGACGCACAGGGCAAGCGCCGCTCCTCCATCGACGGCTCCGAGCCCGCCAAGACCTCGCTGCAGATCACGGGCCTGGTGGCCACCATCGTCGTCCTCTACGACTGCCTCATGGGCTTCCCCGTGCTGGTGGGTGAGCCAGTCAGTTGGGGGGAGCCCGGGGACAGCCCTGGGGTAGACACACTGCAGGCGTCAGGCATTGAATCCTCACACCTGACTCTTTAAGGGGCGGCATGCTCAGCATCCCCATCATACAGACTTGGAAATCAAAGTTCAGGGAGGTAGAAGGAGCCACTAAAGTCGGGGCTGCCGTGGTGGGACTTGAACCCACCTCGGGTGACTGTGGAGCCCAGGGTCTTCCTGCCGCACTGCGGGGGACTTGCCTCACCCTCTGCCCATTCGATGCAGAAGATATGGAAGGTGGGCAGCATGTCCACAGGCTTCCTGGTGGGTCCAGGTCTTAGGATGGACAGAGCAGAATCAGCTTTAGTCCTGAACTGGGAGGCAGAGCAGGCTTAGAACGTCTGCTGAACAGTTGGACTTGATCCCAGGTGCTAAGGAAGGTCAAGGTGAAGGCTGGTCTGAGGAAGGTCAGGGCCAAAGTCCAGAGCTCCTGCTAGTGAGGCCTGGCCCAGGAATGAAGTCTGGACCCAGCAGCCATGCCTTCCCACCCCTGGGGCTTTGTCCCAGTTTCCGGAAGGGCCTGGAGCAGGTGCGGGTGTGGGACGAGGACCAGAGGTTTTGTGCAAGCAGCTAGGAGACACTGGAAGACACGAATTGAAGAGGGTGACAGGTGGAGTGGCAGACTCATCGTCAGGGAACACACTCGGGATGTAGCCCCTGGCAACGTGCTGTCCCACCCTCGGTGGGCCCAGCACCCCCCCGGTACGGGGGTGCTCCTGCGTGCAGTCCCTGTGCTGGCGGAGGGGGCAGTGTGTGTGAAATTGCAGAGCCAGCAGGGCGCAAAAGCAGGGAAAGCTCCCCAACCCCACCTCTTCAGGGTAGGAAAAGGGGTGCCATCTATGGAGCCCACTCCGTGGTTCAGGGAGTTCTTGGCCTATTTCACAGATGAAGAAACTGAGCCCCAGAGAGGTTCAGCCGCTTTCCGAGGGGCAGGCAGCTCACGTTCAGCAGCTTTCCGAGGGGCAGGCAGCTCACATGGCAGAACCAAGATGATGTCTGCATCACACCCACTTCCTCTCCGATGGGAGAGTAATTAAATGTCACTCTGGGTGGAGGAGTCGGGAATGAGGAAGGAGGGACCCTGGGCAGTGACCCAAAGGCTACCTGGCTGGACCCTCTGAACCCCAGAAACTGCTCTGACTCTCCTCCTCTGGGGTTCGAGGCCTAGGCGCCCAGAACAGGGGCGGGGCCAAGGAAGCCGCTGGCCATGGCAGAGCCAGAAGGGCAGGAAGTTCCCTGCACTGGGAGGCTTGAGATCTGGTCCTCTGAGCCTCAGTTTCCCCTTTCCCAAATGGGCGTGATAGTCTATGCCCCCACCTCTGTCCTCAGGCAGTCCATGAGGGGACTCTGAGGAAATGCGTGCCCTGTGAAGGGCTGTGCATACGTGGGGCTGTGACTTCGTTTTGGCTGCCAGCAGCTCGCAGTGGGCAGAGACTTCTAACCTCACGGTCTGGCTCTTTCCTGCCCTGGAGCCTAGAGCTCTGTCTGCCACCACCACCTCCTCCTCTGGCTGGTGGGCACTCAGACCTGCCATCCGGATGGGAGGACCTAGGCTGGGAGGGGACACTGTGCGATGGGGACCTGCGGGGTGCCAGGCCGAGCACTGTGCCCACAGGTGGTGAGCTTCAGCAGCCTGCGGGCAGACGCCTCAGCGCCCTGGATGGCGCTGTGTGTGCTGTGGTGCTCGGTGACCCAGGCTCTCCTGCTGCCCATGTTCCTCTGGGCCTGTGACCGCTACCGTGCCGACCTCAAGGCCGTCTGGGAGAAGTGTGTGGCCCTCATGGCCAACGACGAGGATTCGGAAGATGGTGAGGGTGAGGGTGCCCTGAGAGTGGCCTCCGGGGAGAGTGGCATCTGGGTGAGGTCACTGGAGTCATCGGGATAGCAGCCGTCAAGTGGCCACCCCATGGCACTGTGGTGATCCCATCCTCTACTGCCAGACATCCCAGTATTACCCCCAAATGTGCTCAAGCCGCCGAGGGACTTAAGTGTACCCCCAGGGCACTCTCCTGTCCCGCTAGCCTGCCCTAGGCAGTAGCTGTGGACACCAGACTGCCTGTATTCCAAGCTTCCAAACTTGGGGATCCCCGGTGGCTCCTGCAGACCCCAATTCTATTCCTCCAGCAATGACAGTGTAACCCCAGGCTGACCCTTGCTGTGTGCCAGGCACTGTCAGCCCCTTGTGTGTATTTTGTCTCCCCTAAGTTCACAAGGTAACCTCAGGCCCCACCCCATTGACAAGGAAACTGGTTCAGTGTGTAACTTTCCCATTCCCACAGCTAAAAGGTGGCAGAGTCAGGATTCGAATCCAGGACCCTGCCCTTTGTCTTTTCCATAACCTTCTGCCCTGTGTATGCCTATGGGGGTCCTTGGGCTCATTCTTTGTTCTTCCCAAGTTCCCGTGACCCTAAGCTGCCCCACCCCGCAGATACCAGCCTGGAGGTTGCCATGCCCCGGGACTTGGTGCTGGAGCGCTCCCTCGACTACAGCTACGGGGGCGACTTCGTGGCCCTGGACCGGATGGCCAGCTATGAGCTCTCGGCGGAGGGCGGCCTGTCGCAGGTCTACCCGCTGCGGCCCCTGCAGGAGGACAAGATGCAGTATCTGCAGGTGGGAACGGGGCGGGGCTCTGAGCATGCGGTTGGCGGCGTCCTGACTCCCAAGGCCTTTTCCACTCCGAGCCGGTGTCATGCCTGCCACGGCTCCAGAGTGGCTTTCCCACTCACCGCCAGCACGCACTGGCCCCAGAGCCTGTGCACGTGGGCCCCCAGTCCCTGCCTCCGCGTCCCCTCGTGTTCTGGGAGCGTGGTCCCCCTGGCGCCTGTGTTTCTTCCTTGGTGCTCAGCACCCCATGTAAGGTGTCTTCTCCCCAACCGACCCAAGGTACAAATGACAACACAGGCTCAGAGAGATTGTCACCTGCCCTAAATAGAAGCAGGCCACCCTGCCCCGTGTCGGGAGGCGAGGCTCGGGTCCCTGTTTTCCAGGAGGGCAACCCAAGTTAACCCCGCGGGTCCTGACAGGTCCCGCCCACGCGACGCCTCTCGCACGACGATGCGGACGTGTGGGCCGCCGTCCCGCTGCCCACCTTCCTGCCGCGCTGGGGCTCCGGCGAGGACTTGGCCACGCTGGTGTTGCCCGCCGGGCCGGACCGGCGCCGCGAC